TCTCCATTGCCTCGAGTTACCGAAGGAAGCCGTCGGCCACCGAAGGATAAGAAAGGCAGAAGGCAGGTACTGACGATAACGATAGAAAGGTGTGGGTGAGCCTGTGAGGGTGAGAGTGAGAGCGTGTGGGTGAGATTGAGTGTGTGCCTGGAGAGAACGCCATCCTTTCGTATGCATGCTTCATCCCCCCCTCCTCCTTCTCTTACTTTCCCCCCTTGGGCCTTCCCCCTTCTCACAAGCACTTGCTTGCGCCTGACCTGCAAGTCACATCTCGTGAAAGTGGTTGGCCTCTGAGCAGACTGGCCGGACGGCAGAAGGCGCGTCGAAGTCTGCATGGAAGGTCTAGCAAAAGCGCCGCCCGTTCTGTTGCACGGCGTAGAGGATGCGATGCCCTGCACCTATCCTGCGATGGCACACTCTATTGCTCCTGGGCAGAGGCGCCACGGCGCAGCTAGTCCAGAAGGCAACAAGCCCAACAAGCAGGCCAAGGCTTCCATGAATCCATAGTCCATCGTAGCCTGTGCTTCTGTAGCATTCTAGAGGAAAAGGCCCTGGCCGGAAGGACTGGGGATGGAAGTGAGGGTGATCCGGTGTGATGAGATGCTTCTTCCGAAGTGCTACGCTGGGGAAAAGTGTGTCGAGTTGCGTCCTGAGGTGTTGTGATGTGTATCAAGGAGAGAAGGGGAAAGGTTCCTCGGAGTTTGGATGTTAAACATTGACACAAGACATTAGACGATGGACATTTGATGCCACTCGCTACCAGAACAAACGTAAGCGTGCCCTCAAAGTTCCTATTAGCTAATTGGAAGGTAAGGTAAGGTAAGGTAAACGTTAAGATATTTGCTCGGGTGCCGTTCCCTCGAGTACCGGTGTGTATCCGTAGATTTCTCCAGTGCGGGCGGGAAAAGGACTCCTGCATCCCGCCCTCCCTTCCTCTCCCCCCTCCCCCTTCCCCTTCCCCCTCTCCACATCTCGCAGACCTCGATCCAACCCAACCCAACTAACCCAACTCACCTCCCTCACCTTGCCTTGCGTCTAACACGCATCCAGCCAATCCGGCATGGGGCTGCTTCCTCTAGTCTATTACTTTATGTGTATCTGTATGTAGGTACTCGATAGGCTTCACCGCACAACAACGACAAGCCTTTTCATCACTTGACACCTGAGCCAGACTTTGAATTATTCAACGGCTACCGCGTTTAAGAGCCCGTGCCAACCAAGACAGATTCGAAATATGGCTACGAACGGATACGTGTGCGCTGCTCTCTTCAGGTGTCACAAACTGCACCCTTTCATCACCTGTGGCTACGATCCATTCGGCTCTCTAATGTTGGCTGAGCTACGGATACCAAGTATGGGATGCTCCATACGCGCCTCTACCTTACAGGAGGCCGGAACGAGCGCATCGGCAGACAGGGTTGTTGGGCTAAAGATAACAAAATATCTTTCGCTCGAAACAGCCGCCGATGATATTGGATATGGATTCAAAGTACGGATACAGCAGACCCGTATGCCACGGATATTAGACACATGCGAACTGCATCGCCCACTCCACCAAATAAGACCCATCAATCACCATAACCACCCACCACCACGACCATCACCTTGTCCGACATACCAAATCCGGTCATTGACAAGTCTCTACCGCGGCACATACCTGTCGCACTGGCACTCTATGGGCACGGGCGTCTTGCATCTGCTTGGAAATCAGGAACAGATGCTGGAACGGGAACAAGAACAGGAACAGGAAATCTCCATCAACAAGCTGGCCATGGATCATTATGGACCAGAATTGCTCCGTCGTGGGGCGCGGGGGTTCACCCGTCGTCCATGTCCGAAGCTCTCTGACATGTCGCTTCACCCTCACACTTGACTCTCGCTGCCCTGTCCTGACTCCCACGAGTCCCACGCCCTCGCGCTGTCAACAAGTCACAAAGTCGCCAGGTGGTCAGTGTTGAGCGGGTGGGTTCCAAGATGACCGATGAACCACCCCGTCATCATCCTGGCCAGCTCGGTTCGAGGGAATGCGTACCGAGGAACACGGAACACGGGTGAGATCGAGTTACAAAGCACTTTGCCGTTAGATACCAGCCACTTGCCGCAGGACTCCCCGTCAAGACTAGGTACCGACAGTGGCGGCCGACAGAGGCTCACTTGTAGCTTTCGCCTTAGACTCAGGCGCCGCACGCCTCACCCGCTCACTCCATCTCATATGCCTCGCCCTCACTTCAGGTGCATCCTCTGTCCGTATAGAGACAGATAGAGAGGAGACTGGCGACCGAAAACAGACACGGCCCGGCAACAACAGCAGTGACAAGCATCATAGCATTCATCTCCGTGGCTGTTTCTGTCACATGCGATCCGCTCTTCTGCTCACTTTGGGCGTCCATGTCTCGCTATTCGTGGACCTCAATGAACCTTTGCTCGACTTCTCTTGTCGCCGCAATCTTTCGAGAGTCATCATCTCAGACAAGAGTCTCGACCCCATGCGCCTATCGGCTGTTGACTGGGCCGCCTAGTCATCTAACCTAACCTAAGCTACTACGCTACGAAGACAGTCCGTACGGGATTGCCCAGCTACCAAGACGCGGCTTCCATTGGCAGATGCTGCTTGGCCATGTCATTGGTTGGGTTGATCGATGGAGGAGGAGCAGCAGCCGCCAGTTCGTCCAAACATCGAACCTTGAACCTACCTTCATCTTTTCTTGTTCTTTGGATCGCAAAGAACTGCCAGACCAACGTTACTCGGACCACTAAGAATGAGTAAAACGAAAAGGGCCTTGCTTGGTTTCACTTCAAATCACAGATACCGACCTCGTCCCTCGTTTCGCTCATCCAAGCTTCAAGTACCGTTCCAGCCTCACCCCCGTCTGACGACAATTGTCCGCGTCGTTTTTAGCTCGCGGCGCCTTGTTCCTTGCCCGCAGCAGGCCGAAAGTTAATTGCACACAGGCTTGCTGTTCTTCATAGACGCCTCTCTGTCTGTAGTACCTACTCCGTAGAGATTCTGGATGCAGAAGAAGCACGCAAGCTGGCTGGTTGGCTGGCTGGCTAGGTAGCTGGACTCCTGGAGGACAACCCCGGGCTGCCAATCATCCTGGCCACGGCCGCCGTCTCCGCCCTCGCCGTTGTCGTTGTCCTTGCATGGACCGACCCTGTCCTGCCCTGCCCTGTAGCGCGGCAGATGCAGCAGCATTGCATCGCATCGAGTCGCTAGCAGGGGCCTTCGCTCAGGGAGCAGCAGGGTGGGTTTATGGTGGGTTTGCAAAAGGACCTGAGCTAGGTTGAGGCTAGGCGCGAAGAGGAGCAGCTGGGAGCCGGCGAGCCAGTCTTTTGCTCTCGAGTGCAGACGTTCATTTTGGAGACTGACGGACGGACTGACTGACTGACTGCGCAGTCGTCACTGACAGGCTGCAGAACGAAGACTGTCTCATCCTACTGTCTCCGACTGTCCCCTTCTCTTAACCGGACTTCTGACTGACAGCTGGTCTGGTCCAAAGCCCGGGCTAATCTGAGACTTTGCCAACGTTGTCAGAATCCTGGCAAATGGAAACTGCCAGAGATGTTCCCACAATGATGCTATTTCCGATGGATCTACCGTAAGTGTCTCGTCTTGCCCGATCTACGGATACTTGTCTGTCAGAATCAGATACGCCGTACAAGGCCAGGCGAAGGCGGGAAGCAAGTAGGGGCTGGTTCGCGAGCTGGTTATGGGAACTGTTAATGTTCAGGGACCGATGAATACGAGTTGTTGGGGCCGAATATCTCATAGCAGGGATCTCAAGCGCCCAAAGGGAACATGTCGTCTCTGGTTCCTCGTTTGCTTGCCTTGAGTGGTGGGTGCATTGATCATTATCCGTCTCGTCTCCTCACCTTCAAGTTCTCCCCCCCCGCAATCCTCTATCACGTCTTATCTCGTTGCCCTCCCGTGCTACAGGTTCTTTTGCGACGACCGGGTTGGATCTCCGTTCATCGTATGTCACCAGCCATGGATTGAACCTTTTTTTTTTTTCCCTCTCTACTGCGTACCTCTCCTTCTGTCCGTTTATCCTATCTCAAGAGCGGAGAGCAGAGCGGATACCGACCATATTGATCGCGCTTTGTCAGTGTCCGGCCGAGTATTGTGCGAAGATGGCACTCAGTTCTCGCACGAGACGTGTCCGCGATCGCGTCCGGTTACACTATTCTCTCCAACTAAGAACTTATTGCGAAAGCTCTCGAACCAGATCTTGGAGACAATGGCTTTCTTCTAGGCTCTTACTCCGCACTCAACTCTCTCCTCTTCCCCCAACATCGACAACTATTACTAACAAGATAGAACGCCCACCAAAGCCACCCGCACCGCACCGCACCGCACACACTTTGAAATTTGGGGGGGTGATGGAGAGGCATGCAACCCCTCCAAAGTCTGGATGACAAGGGGTCCCTGTCGCATCGTCCGGCCACATCTTGACCAGAACAACCTAAAATCGCGGGCAAGCCAGCGAGAGGCAAGGTACCTACGGATGCAGCAGTAGCCAAAGCCCACAGTCGAGGGCCCTGGGCTCTTGTGCCTGCAATGAAATGGGGACTCCCTCTTTGCCTACCCTAGGGATCCCCTGCTCTTCAGACATCTGGCAACGGACCCGCTGATCTGCTCATCTTCATCCTCCCATTCTCGACTCCCACTCGCTATGCTCTGCCCGCCGCTCCTCTCTAGCCTTGCCTCCCACTCTTCGTTGTGTCTCTCGAGCTCTTACCTCCCGCATCCACTAAGATCGAGAGAACGGCCAGGAACCCAGAGACGAGGCACACTCCCCGAACGCCGCTCTCTTCTCACACACCCAGACAACCCGGCTCGCCTTCACGTAGGTTTCTCTCCATCGGTCCAAGTCGCCCGCCCCTGGTCTCTCTCTACTCACTTTGTCTCTCATCTTGCATGTGCTGGTGCAAGCATCCCTCCAAGCATCCTCCCCCCATCTCTGATCCCATCTCTCATCCTTGCCTCCTACCCCCGTCAACGCACATGTATGTACTTTCAGACTGGTGCACCCGCTTCTCTTCCGGACTGTGCAATACCCGCTTCTCTCCTCCGGACGAGTTGCTTGCTGAGGCCCAGGATCCTCGCACGCCGCTTGTATATCTCTAGCCAATCTCTCATCCATGTAGCCAATGGTTGCCATCCAGAACGCTCACCACCTCTCGATACATATATACACTCCTCGTCCCCGAGGCTTGCCACACTTGGATGTATTACTGTGCCTCTTGACTTATCCTCTCGCTTTCATCTATTGCTCTCCTACCTCTAGCGGTATACCATCTTTTCCCAGAATACCATCACTTCGTCCGCACCATTACCGGACTGCATTACTGTTCGACAACGATATTGTCCTGCCTCCTTCCTGACTGACAACCGGTCTCACAAACGTGCTATAAAACGCATTCCACACTTTCATCCCACATTCAACTTGAACACAGGACAAGATGACCGCTCCCATAACTCAACAACAATCCGCGCAAGCTAAAGATGCTGCCGCTGCCGCCTCGGTCCGGAAAAGGAGAAGACGCGCTCCCGCCGGTGGCGCTGCCGACGACTGCTTCACCTGCTCCAAGAGGAACGTCAAGTGTGACCGCAGACGGCCCTACTGCTCACAATGTCTCGAGATCGGCAACGAGTGCTCAGGCTACAAGACTCAACTGACTTGGGGAGTTGGCGTTGCCAGCAGAGGCAAGTTGCGCGGTCTGTCTCTTCCCATTGCAAAGGCACCTCCAGTGGCCGGAGTTGCAAAGAAGTCACCCTCGCGTCCCCGCGCAAACTCCACGGCTACCAGCGCAGGCTGGGCCGATGCAGACGACATGTCTCGAAGGAGTCCGCGCAACGATGCCGGCTTCTCGCCGGAGCACGTTGTCTCAACACCCACGACACCCTACCCTCACAGCTACGATATGCTCTCCATGTCACACCCCGAGCACACACCATCAATGACTGCTGGACACTGGGGCGGCCTCCCGTACTCAAATAGTATGCCGACGGATGGTCCCAACTACAGGAAGTTGGGTGCTCACCTGGGACCTCTTCCCATCTCAAGTGCGCTGTCTTCCTCACTCGAGTCCGTCAGCGACGGCGATTACATGTCCCCCATGAGCCATTCTTACTCAAGAGACGATATTCCCTTCCTCCACAGCCCCAACGTCATGTACGACGGCTACAGCACCCACGGCTCGCCGGTGCCTCAAAGCCCCATCTCTGCCATTCTTATTGACCAGAGAGCCGCCCCGACATCGTGCCCGAGCCTCGTGTACGCCCCATCCGAACATAGCTCCAGTCTCACATCACACATGGACAACTTCGAAAGCCAGTTGAGTCAGAAACTGATGCGGGAGTGTGACACTTTGAGTAAGACGCCCTGTCCGGCTGCTCTGCTTTAGGATCAGACTCGCTGACGTGACGACTTTTAGGCGTACCCGAGATGGATGCGTACAGCACGAGCTGCAATTCCAGCGGCCATGTTTGGACATCTCCCCCTCCGGAGGAGATGTCACCCCATCATTCGGATCACCACGCTTCGGCTCAGTGGCCCACCATGTTCGAGCCGCAGGCCGTCCACGTCAACTCTGACCTCATTGCAAAGATGCCCTTCTTCATGGACTACTACAAGAACATCATGTGCCCTGGTATGGTCTTCATGGACGGACCAAGCAACCCCTACAGAGAACACATTCTCCACCTGGCTTCGAGTAGTCAGAGCCTGCAGCATGCCATTTGCGCTCTATCAGCCTGCAACCTGCGGATGAAGCGCAGACTCAGCTTGGGCCAGGACACACGTGAACTCTCCGAGAAGCTCATGGCTGAGAAGTCGACTGCCGAGTCCATGGCGGACGCCCAGCCCGAGGACCAATCCCTCTCCGAAGAGTACCAGCACCGCAACCTGGCTGTCCACCTTCTCAACCAGCAGCTCAACGATCCGGCCAAGTCCAGCCACGACTCTGTCCTTGCCACGATCCTGCTTCTCTGCCACTACCGCATGGTGGAGTCGGGCATCGCCAAGTTCCACACCCAGTTCGCCGGCGTCAAGAAGATCCTCTCTATGCGGCGATCACAGAACCTGGCACCTTCCCGCGACTCTGCATGGATGGAGGCCATCTTTACCTACTTTGACGCCATCTCGGCCAGTATCAACGACCGGGAGGCTCAGCTTAACTCTACATTCTACGGCGTCATGCCCGATGCTCAGTTGCTTCCCCCTGGCGCTGAGAACCTCGTCGGCTGTGACCGTGAGCTCTTCAAGACCATCAGCAAGCTGGGCAGACTTAACCTCCTCTCTCAACACCGCTCGGTCCAGAACCTCGTCACTAGCCCCATGGCGCGCAACATCCCTTCGCGCTCGCAGTCACCCCTCAGCTCGCCCCTGGGTCACTCCTTCAAGAGCAACCTTAACGGCCTGCACCACCAGCAACTCGGTGACATCTACAGCTTGCCGGGTCACCGTTTCGACGGCAACGGGTTCGGCTCTACCTTGGACGACGACGAGTTTGTCTCTTCGACGCTCTGCTCATCTGCAACGTACGACGACAACCGCAACAACTTCTGGAGAGAGTGGAAAGAGGCCCGCGTCGCCCTCCAAAGCTGGGAGTTCGACTCGGCCCGCCTCCACGCCTCCCTTCCTTCTCCCGCGACCCCAGCCCAGGTCCGGGACTTGGGCTCCCTGTCCGAGGCGTTCCGCTACGCGGCCTTGCTGTACACGGAGCGTCTGGCGTCACCCAACGTCCCCTCGACGCACAGCAACTTCCAGAACCTGGTCTCGCAGGTGGTTTACTACGCCACGAGCCTGGAGGCGGGCAGCCAGGCGGAGAAGTTCCTCCTGTGGCCGCTTTTCGTCGCGGGCAGCGAGTGCGTCAACGAGCTCCAGCAGAACATTGTCCGGAGCAAGTGCCGCGACATCATGGGGCGCTCTGGCTACATGAACAACCTGGCCGCGCTCGACGTGCTGGAGAGGCTGTGGGCGGGCGAGTGGAAGGACAACGAGCCTCGGAGCCCGGCGGCTGTCAAGCTCGAGGCGATGCGCCGGGGTCCGTTCAACTGGACCAGGTGCATCGGGGGTCCCGGTGTCGAGGTAGAGTGGATCATGTTTTAAGGGTGTCTTTTTTACTTTACTGCAACTTTGCTGCAGCTCGCTTCGCCTTGCGGAGCTGGATGGTATGGATCATCAGGAGTCTTTTTTTGCAGGGGAAGTGAAAAAGGGAACACCAAAAAAAGAGCGAGCAAGGGGAACTCGGGAAGCACGACCACGAGTCACGCGCAAAAGAGAGACGTCGGAGTGAGCGAATGTGTTTTCTTTTTTCCCCCTTGCTCCGGCTGGCAAGCTGGGCTTGGAAGTCACGACTGATGAGATGAGAGAGAGAGGGGCGGCGGTGATTGAGTGGTCTATCTGATCTGTAAACCTGTACAATAGCAAACTACGACGACTTTGTGGGCATACATACTTATGATGCGGCGTTAATCAAGGGAAACTAGGAGGCAAATAGGGTCGTCTCTTGGACGTGTAAGCCTCAAGATTGGCTGATTGCATGGAAATAGGGATGAGTTGGGAAGTCTGATGGAGATAGCTTCCAAAATACAAACTAACATGAGAAGGCGTACATAATTCCCATCGCGCACATACTTCGATCTTGCCAATTCCTCATCTCAAGAGGCTTCTACACTGACAGTTGCCTCTCAATGAGCAAGAGTCTCACACAGCAAGGTCAACTCGCCAAATTCAACAGCACTCAAGGGCCGATGGCGTTGTGTGATGGCGTGCTCTATCACGATGGTACCTGCGTTGCGGTATCGAAACAACCGCCAGGCGGCGGCGCGGCGGATCCTCCTCACTCACCCCTCAACCCCAACTCAGGGTCCAGCTTCCCAGTAAGCTTCTATTCCACGGAGCACTTGCCATTGTGTTCCAGCGTCTCATTGCGTTGAGCTGTGTAGGACGCAGGCGCAAGCTAAGTGGTGAGGGGAGGGGGGTGGGAATGTACGAGGGGAGTGTAGTGTACCTTACAAGAAATAGGGGGTGAGATGGGAATAGACGAAGGGGGTGTGGAGGAGAGTAAGGTAGGTACCCAGGTATTTGCCCTCCCGCTCTGCCCCGGTCCAAGACTTGTACTGCGTAGGTACGGCTTCGACCAAGCCCAGATCCACCACTTTGTCCTAGGGGACCTGGTCTCTGTCCAGTCGCAATCGCTCCAAGCGCCGTTTGGAGCGGGAGGCGCATGTGGGCGGCGCGATCCCATCACCCATGTGCCTGAGGACTAGAGCATCAGGGGTTGGAGAACGCGGTATACTTTATCCGTGCCTCGTTCTTTTTTCTCCATAACTTAATCACGGTAAAGTGGTTGATGGACTGCTTAATTGTGTTGTTCCCCCGTCTGTGCGAAAATACTCGGATCTGAAAGGAGCACGGAATGATGACCGTGCAGCATGAGTTTGGGGATCGGAGGAGGCCGATGGCGATATGATATCAAGAGAGGAGGAGGCCGAAGGAGTGAGAAAGCAAAATGCAGACAGAGTCAGTCTGAATCGTTGCCGGCCCCGTAACACTCTCCATCTCTGTATGTACTGCGTATGCACTACGGATATGACATTTACGATCCTTGTCAACTCGGTTGCTCCAGACCGAGCCAAGCAAAACCGACGGGCTGAAGTGCCGTCCGCTCTGTTGTATTTGATGTGCGGCAATAGAGGCACTGAGAACTTGGAGAGGTTCGATATTCTCGCTTGCTCCCAGCCCAGCCAGCGAAATCATTGGACCTTGTTGAAGGGGTCCAAGGGTGAGGAGGGAGGAGGTCACTGTTGCAGGGACGAAGGATGCTCTCCACTCTCACAAGTCAAAGAGTTGCAGACTGCTTCCACTCGCATGCTGCGGAGAGCGGATAGTTGAAGGACGATGACGGAGGAGGATGGAGGATAGAGATGTTGACGCAGTAGTTTGGCTTTACTGTACGCAAGAGTAGTTCATCGACAGCCACACAACAGCCCCAATAGACAGTCACTACATCACCATGTACATCGAGAGAGGAGGGGAACGGACGGATCAAGGGCATCGGGGTAAAAGCAGACTGGCTGGCAGGATGAACCAGGGCCAGGCCGGAGAACAGACGGAGATGGCAAGGATCAAGGATCCTTCTCAAGGCCTGGGGAAGAAGCGTTGACGATTTGAATCCACCCGAGCCAAAAAAGTTCCCAAGGTGTGGGGGTGATAAGGGACGTTCGGGCCAAGAAATTCCGGCCGGGCTCATGACTGGCTGGAATTCACGACAGAACTGGACAAGAGGGAACGCGGGACTGGCACGGGCGTTTGTGGCACCGCACACCATCACACACACTCTCTCTCCGATCTGGCGACGCATGGGTTTCTTCTCTGGCACTGGGCAGGGCCCAGGGGGTGGTCTTCCGTGAACAGGCACAGGGTATCCGTACAAGGAAAGGGGGCCTGGAATTCATGGATTAGAAGAGAGGAGGAACATCCATAAGGCCCGACCAGGGAGTTTAGCAGATGGCAAAGAGTGGAGAGAGCCCCGAAGAGAGAGAGAATGAGGGAATGCCTGGTCGGTCACTCGGTCACTCACTCACACTCATTCAGTCACTGGTTCAGCCGTGGAGATTCGACCAGGGGAAGCTGACCGACACACAGAAAAGACTCGAGAGCGACAGAGAGAAGGACGACAACCCCAGCCGAGCCCGACACTGCGCAGGACGATGTGGCAGGGGAATTCGAAGCGGTGGCGACGGGGAAGGACCCCATTTACACTGCTCCCTCCTCGGTACTCGCTTCACAGGAGCTTCAACAAGGCACAGAGAAAGAGTCAGAAAGTTCGGACGCAAGCTGCACCTTGCCTTGCGCGAAGATGGATACAGAGTCGCAGAGTCAAAAGACACCTTAATCCATATTGACTACTCTGCCTGACCTGGCCTAAAGCACGCACTAACAAGCTTAAACTTGGTACATGCTCACTGCTCTGTCCGTACTGACACGCTCTCACCTACGGAGTACACTACCTCGGGTCCCATACTTTAAACCATGCCCGCGCCTGTCAGTTCTGTCTGCTCGCCTATGTACACTACTCCGTACGGAGGAGCACTCGCCTAATAGAACGGACCGGGGGGTGTGTGACCTTCGAATATGCAGAGACCTTTTGCGAGAACCAAAAAAGTAGTCGAAGAGGAGGAAGCTACTGCGTATCCGTCCGGATACCTACTAGGCGGCCGCTTGCAACGAACAAAAGGACACTGGAGATAGCACGAGCCATCTCCTGGCGTCTCTGGCACGTCGGAACGAGATACTGAAGATAGCGATTTAAATGTCGGCTTTTGATGTTGACCTTTGTGAATTAGTCGTGCGCATAGTCGAGTTCCCCCCGTCCATCGTTCGTAACGGCGACTTGGCGAAGAAGTGAGATGACGGGACGCGTGGGGGTCTTCTCACTCTCACTCTCACTCTAACTCTCACTCTCATCCTCACCTTTCCCCTCCACGGTTCGACCTGAACTGACCTGACTTGAAATGACCTCACCCAACCCCCAACCCATCCGTCATGAGCAACTCTTTCGAGGCTCACCGGGTCTACGATCATCTTCAGATCATCTGATGTCGTCGAATCAGCTCTGGTGGTTCATCTGCACCTTCGCCGTTGATGACTGGCAGGCACCTAGGTACTGCGGTGAGCTCATTCGACATGATATGCGCGATGCTGTTTATCCAGACACAATGCCTTCTCACTCAAGTGCCGCAATGACGCCATTTCTACCACCGGCAATCCGAGCACTTGAAGAGTTTCACTACCTGGCGGCGCATGTTCATTGCCGTGCCTTACACACCATGCACATATTCTCGCGCCCGCATCGTTGCCGTAAGCCACCTTGGCTACCATTCTTCAACCGCGGTTAGCAAACAAGAAGAAAGCACGCAAAAAGCAATGCATGGATCCACCATCGTGACTTTGTAACTTGTAAGTTTCTGTGTAAACTGGATAGTACAGAAATTGGGCAGCTAGACTAGGGGTGAGAAAGCGGCAGATGGAAAAAGGAAGGGTGTGTGTAAGATGAGATAGCAAAGAAAACATAGCAAAGTCGAGATCGGGGTATGGGAGGAGCGTTCACACTACTGAAATGCCAAGGCAATACGAACCGAGGACCCTTTTTGCTTGGCAAAGGGGTGTGTAAGAGAGTGGAAAAGTGAGGCTCCATATGTCAAAGTTTTGTAATATCCATGTCCCGGCCCATCATCGTGCTATGCCTATCCATACACTTACTTTATTATACTTACCTCGGTTTGTGCCTTCTTTTGAACAAGACTTTTTCCCGGCAAGGGACAAGGGGCCCGGCCGGGGGTGGGAGCTTTAATTCTTTTAGTGGCAATTCTGGACTAATTCATAGCCGTTTCGCGATTCAGCGATTCAGGGTGAGTTTCTCGCATTTCATCTATCTCCACGAGTAATGAACGAGGCCAATATCCGGTCCAACTTGACCGAAAACCCAATTTAAGCTATTCTTACACTTTCACTGCCCTCCCAGGGTATCCGATGTGTTTTTTATGTTTTTGCCGCGCCCGAATCCCCTATGATCACGCGACTTGCCCGAGAGACTTTTCTGCCCGTTGTTCTAGAAACGGAGACTAGGATAGGCCTCATCGCGGCTATTTTTTTCCATATCCAATTTCCGCGCCTCTCCATCCCATCCATCGTACAGAGCGCACCCCCCTTCCCCTATCCTGTTATCCTCGGCATTTTCATTCTCGTCTTCTTCCATCCCTTCAGCCGCGCCACTTGAACCGGCTCTGCCTCAACATGTCCAACAGACCCGTGGGTAAAACCCCCTTGTCCACGACAACCAGGCTGCCGAACCGCGCGACCATGTCCTTGCCGTAGAGCCCGCACACCCACTGCTCGTAGCCGCTGAGCCCATACCAACCCGCCGGCGTGGTCTTAAGCGCGGCCTCGACCTCGCCCCTGAGCTCAATCGCCTTGGTGGCCGGCGTGTGCCGCAGCCTGTCGAGCGCCCGGCTCAGCGCCGGCGACGTGCGCCTCCGGTGCCGCGAGAACTCCTCGTAGTTCATGAACGGCTGGTCCCGCAGGTCTCTGTAGTCGTCCGCGAGAAGCCACGGCGCGTGGTGTCGGGCACCGGAGATGTCGAGGCTGCTGCCAGGCCCGCTGCCGCCGCCGGTCCCCTCAGTGTCTTCCTCGTAAGCCGTCTTCTTGAACCTGTACTCTGCCTCCTCCTCGGCCAGGAAGTCGTCCATGATGTCGTCAGGGTCCTCGATGACGTCGTCGCGGATCAGATAGAGGTCTATAAAGGGGTTCTGCAGTCCCAGGCCGCCCAGGGAAACGGGGAAGTATAAGTAACCGTCAGGGATGTCCTCAACGCCGAACCGATCGCCAATGAGCCGCTTCAGGTGCGCCCCGGCCCCGCCAGCGCCAAACAGCCTCTCCTGGATGCGGTGGAACGTCGCTAGCATGCTATCCACGTGCTGCCGGGAGTAGCAATTGGCGAGCTGGGCGCAGTTGGTCTTGAAGAAGCGAGCGCCGTAAATGTTCCACGCCTGGATCCAGTCAAAGATGCTGCTGCACGCCTCCAGCTGCAGCCGCAGCTCGTCAATGTGCACGTCAATCTTGTCCTGGTCCAGGAGGAAACGCCCAGACGTCGGATCGAGCTTGAGGAATCCCCACACGACATCGCCTGATGGCAGACGACCCCGTGCCGTCGTCGTAGCACCCGTACCCGGAGGCATGGACCGTTGCTGTTGCTGTTGCTGTTGTTGGTTCGACCCGGCTCCCGGGGGCGCGGCGGCGGCGGCGGCGACCCTGACGCTTCCCGTCTTGTCCCAGTTGATCTCCAGCCCTGTGAGGTTGACAAACTCGGTCATCGTCTCCCACGCCCGGGTGCAGGTTTCGAGACCGCCCCATAGCCACATGTCGTCGTGCAGCCGGTAGAGGCGGCAACCATCGGCTCGTTGGTTGACGGCAAAGTCCATGCAGAAGAGCATAGTCTCGGCAATGAAATCAGCCAGGGGCGTGCTCAGGGGCGTGCCTCTCCTTCGGATCTGGGCCGGCGCGTCTGACGGGTCGTCGCTGAAGCGTAAAGGGCACTCGAGCATCCGCCTGAAGAGGCCGGTCCACTCGTCGTCGACGCCGAAGAATTCGAGCACGGCGAAGATGGACGAATGCGGCACGCTGGGGCCGAACCACTTGAGGTCGGATCGGATGACGGTCACATCGCTCCCGAGCCGCGTCTGCATGATGATCTCGGACTGCACGAGGTGCAAGAGGTTCTGCACAACGGCGACGTGCGACTTGCGGCTGTCCCCCTTCTTCTCCTTCCCGTTCGAGCCGTAGCCACCTCGTTCCTCCGCCAAGGTCTGCGGTAGCTGGTCCAGCAGGATCTCCGACTTGAAGTGCTGCTTGAGCTTCTTCTCCACCGAAACGGGGCTTTCGATCCGTGGCCCCGTTTGTTTCAGGAAGAATCGTCGGCGGCGAACGTCTTCCTTGCTCGTGGGCTTTGTCGCATCCTTTTCCACGCCCGCGCTTTCGAGGAACGCGACGAGGAACCCTCGTATCTTGACAGCCCACAACTTGCCGATGTGGTGAATGAAGATGGCTTGCAGGAGGTCGTCGTCGGGGTAGAATCGGTAGCGTCCGTTGAGTTGCCGTCGCACGTCGACCTCAGTCGCGCCGTCCCAGGCCCAGTTCTGCCGGGTTTGCATCCGCATATTCAGCACATCAGCGATCTCGCACAGAACGACCTTGTTGTTGAGAAAGTCGTTGAGCGTCGTCCTCTTCTGGTCCGTGAGGGTATCCGTCCGGAGGAGGCCGCGGATGGTGTTCATCAAAGAATCCTCGTCAAAGTGCGTCTTGTCGTCCCACGTCTCCTGAAACTTCTTGACGTTCTCTTTCAGTTCCAGAAATGCCCGATGAATGTCCTTGGAGGGTGATACGAAGAGGCTCTCGAGGTAGCTTTTGATGGCCAGGCTATCCGTCTCCTTCGCATGGAAAACATAGCGCTCCCACGTCGCTCGCTGTTGGTGCATCTCCTCCCTACCCACGGGGACGAACCCCGACTCAGCTCCGTGGCCAGCAGCCTTCCCGGCGGAGATCCATTCGTTGACGAGTCTGCCGTAGAGTTCGGCGTATCGATATTTTGCCGACTGAACGTCGAGTTCGTTGCGTACGCTGTTCTCATAGTCGTGGAGGAAGTCGTCGGACACGCACGGGTCAAATTCGGCTTGCTGAACGAATCGCTTGAGGTTGTCGATGGATAGTAGTGAGCCATCGTCCAAGGGTGCCATGGCAGGAAGCCTCTCGACCCGGTCGACTAAGAGCTTCGCTCTTTTCCGGCTGTCCGTCTCATAGGCCGCATCATCTAGCAGGGCTCGCTTCCCCGACTCGTATGAAGCCTTCTGCTTATCCAACTGGCTCAGCTTCACACTTGTGATGGTGTGAAGGGTCTGAGACAGGATATCGGAGGACGCCATTTTCGACGTGTGGAGTGAATGAGAATGAGAGTAAGATGCAAATGATGAGTGGTTGTGATGCTGAGTGAGTGAGAAGTGAGGTGAGAGAGACACTGGTCAAGTATGCTTAAATAAGAACATTATTTCAAAGCTGCCTCATCCAAGCTGAGAAACAAAACGATTTGAGGCCATTTTCTCACGCCGAACACTCGTTCGGCGTGAAAGTCCTCATTCCTTGGGGTCGATTCTGTGACCGGCAGTTTGGCAGCGGTCAGACACCACCAGACACGGTCAAGTGGAGATGAGAGGAAACTGAGGCCATTTTCCGGCGGCCTCAGTGGAAACCATTTTTGGGGAGGACAATCGCCTTGTACAACACATGCGGTAAAACGAACAAAATCCATTCCTCCCATACATCTCATTCCCTCGTTTGCAGCGCATTTTGGAGGCCAAATAGGCGGCGCATAGCACACTCGCGCAGAAAAGAAGGAAGAATAAGATCCACCTCGTACCTGGGCTGCTGGACTATTTCGATGTGGACGTGCTCGCTCGCTTATCGGTGTGTTTCTGCCGTGAGTTGAAGGTGAGTTTTCCGGCACGTCAGAGTCGTTTTCCGTTTCCAAACCCCGCCCGTTGTGAGATGCTTTCGAGGCCCTTGATTGAAGGGAGCATCATGAGCATTGATGATGCCCTCCTCCAACTTCTGTTTTCTCGTTTCCCCCAATGTCGAGTCAAATCACAAAGGTCCCTCATCACAGCGCCAAGATGAAGATGGAGGAGGTGAGGCCAAGTTAAAGAAAGAACCCAAGGGCGCACTACACAGAGGGCCACAGGGCATACCGACATCGGCAGTGACGTGATTGCAAGGTTGTGTCGCTGGTGGGTAAGATAAGGAAGGCATACGCAATGCTTCGGGAATTACTTACCCAATAAACTCTTCGGTGGAAGGGTCTTTGGGCCGTTGGGCAAGACTCAATGAAGATTAGCCGGGGCTGATTACTATGTGGCGTCCGCCAAACTCCTCTTTTGCAGACTTATTTCAGCGTCAGCGCCCATCTTATCGTACGTATCTGTGGCTGACATCTCCTCCATCTCTACCGTCTCTATCTCCGTGCTGACTCTCAAGACTCAGAGTGCCCGGCGGCCCGCCTTCGACGTGCTGCACAGTTGCCTTTTGCGGACAGACGGCCGGGCACAGCTGCCAGGGGGGGCCACGGGGGCGCACGCCGAGATTCGGGGTCCGGGGAACTGCTGTCTGTTTTGTCACTGTGAATCTTCTTCAGCTATGACATTCTGTTTCCGAGAGCGTCTAGATTACATAAGACACAAGCCGGAAAGCTTATCCCGATAATACGAAAAAGCATTGACCCAATAGGTCGAACGTCATTTACACCCTCAAGACATATCGACAGCGACGTTGACGAATGACTTTCAAGGGCTCAACTCCGCACCGGTAAAGGCAGTAAAGGGAAACTCAGGTTGGAAGCCGAAGCAGAGGGGGAGAGAACATCACCATCAAACATGACGGCAGACGAGGAGCAAACGAGCCGCCCGGCCGCCACCGAGCAGAGCTCAGAGACGACGCCGCTGCTCAACGGCACCGCCAACACGACCAGCAATGGAACCGTCGCCGCCGCCAACGACGACGAAACCACCATCGTCGCCGAGACCGTCTCCGGCACCCGCCTGGCCCTCATCCTGGGCACTTCCTACTTTGGCGTCTTCCTCGGCGCCATCGACAGCACAATCATCGCCACCCTCTCCGGCCCCATCTCAAGCGAGTTCAAGTCCCTGAGTCTCATGAGCTGGCTCGCCACGGCCTACCTCATCTCCAATGCCGCCTGCCAGCCCATCTCGGGCAGGCTGACCGACATCTTTGGCCGCGGTCCCGGCCTCGTCTTCAGCAACCTCTTCTTCGCGGCCGGCAACCTCATCTGCGGCCTCGCACGCACCGAGTCCGTCATGATCTTTGGCCGCGTCGTGGCCGGCGTCGGCGGCGGCGGGCTCATGTCCATCTCCACCTTTCTCGGCTCCGACCTCATCCCCCTGAGACAGAGGGGCATCTACCAGGGCATCGGCAATATCGCCTACGGCTCCGGCGCCATGCTCGGCGGCGTCTTCGGCGGCCTCATCAATGACCACACGGCAATGGGCTGGCGCCTCGCCTTCCTCGTCCAGGTGCCCCCCGTGCTCGTCTCTGCCGTGCTCGTCGCCGTCCTCGTAAAGGTTCCGCCCAAGGCCTCGGACAAGTCCTACCTGGCGCGCATCGACTTCTTCGGCGTCTTCCTGACCATCTCCTTCCTCGTGCTCCTCCTGCTCGGCCTTAACGCAGGTGGAAACCTAGTCCCCTGGGTCCACCCCCTGCCGCTCACCACGATCCCCCTCTCCATCGTTGCCTTTATCGGCTTCATCGTCTGGGAGAGCAGGGTCAAGCAGCCCATCATCCCCGTCCGCCTGCTCGCGAACCGCACCATCCTCGCCGCCTGTCTGACCAACCTGCTGTGCACCATGGTCATGATGATGGCCATCTTTTACGTGCCGCTGTACCTCCAGGTCAACGGGCTATCTGCCACGCAGGCGGGTCTCCGCATCTTGACGTCACCCCTGGGCGTCTCCATCATGTCTGTCGGCGCCGGCTACATCATGAAGCGGACGGGGAAATACGTGATCCCAGGAATCAGCGCCCTGGTTCTCTTCAACACCGGCATCATCATCCTCACGCAGTTCAACGAGAACACGCCCGCATGGGTCAACTATGTCGTCTTCTTCCTGGTGGGAGGAGGCTACGGAGCCATGTTGACCATTACGCTGCTCGGCTGCATTGCTGCCGTTGACCATTCGCAGCAAGCAGTCATCACGTCAGCAACATGTAAGTCATCCTAGGTTATATGTAAAGCCACCCGCATAGACTAATGAGATTTCATAGACCTAGCGCGTAGTCTTGGGGGTACTATCGGCATCACCATCGGTTCCGCCGTCTACCAGAACGTGCTGAGAGTCAAGCTCTGGGAACGCTTCGGCGACTACCCCAACGCCGCCGAGATCATCGGCCGCATCAGAGACGACCTCGACGAGCTCAAGAACCTCCCGCCCGGGTGGAAGCCGGGGGTGATTGACTCCTTCCGGGAGGCCTTTGGTAGCGTCTGGTACACAATGCTCGGACTGTCCATCCTCGCCCTCGTATTCATTTCCTTGATGAGGCAGCATGTTCTCCACTCGACCTTGGAAAGAAGATGAGTTGAGAAAGGGGGTCGCGTGACCTTCGTGAGCAAGAGCCTCAGGTTCACTCACTCATATGCACACACCGCCCGCCGCCGCCTCGGTACCCTCTATAATAAATAAATTTGTTTGTTACTATCACCAAGGCCCGTGGCGTAGCGGAGAATGTCCTACCTTAGTTCGAATAGCTCCGCGTCCATGGGTCCCGGGTTCGAGTCCCGTCATTTTCTAGTAAAAATCCTTGCATCGTTACACCTGAGGCTGGTAAGAGTCTCCTCGGATCTTTCGTAGGCTCCCTATATGGAGTTGAGCTTTTGCAAATTTCGTCTACTTCTCTATCTTTTTGCTTCCTTGGACAGTTAAGTGGCAGTAGCTGGGTAAGTATGATGTTCTTTCTGCGCATTTTTCTACATCCTTGGCATGATGGTTACTTATTACACTGCGTACGGTGAAGATGAGCATCAAAGTCAACTCGTTGCAGAGGAGGGGAAAAGCATCATCTTAGCAAGTAGTCTGGAGCGTTGCCGTCGCTGCTTTTGCCCGGGTCTGTAAATGCCTGCGACTGAGCATAAAGACTAGATAGAGCCCAAGCAAACGGGCAGTGGGCACAGCAATATGCCATGAGCCACGTGAGCGATGCATAATATCGAGCGATCTGGCTTCGGCCACATCGGCAGCAAGATAAAACTAATTCACTGGCAATAGATGATTCCTTGGCAGACCCAAATGCGCATGTGAAAGACGGTTTAAATGGAGGATGCGAGGAACCCCTTGGCACAGGATGAGATGTTAAAATATGAATCGGGTTGTGTCTGTCCCACATCCATGGGCTCAGCTACATATCAAAGAGGTCTTGCATACAAAATTTCTATACGTATGCCAGCGTGTTATCATCCCGGATCTTGCCTGTAGCCTTGATAGTGGCCTCGTTGCCTGCAACACAAGGGCCTCGAACAATGATCTGGTTTGCAGCGTTAGTTGTGCGTCCGGGGTTTGGAAGGCCATCAAACTCACCTCTCCCTGATATTCCTGATCGGCATTCTTATGCTGTTCTGTATCTCTTAAGAGGATCTCAGTGCTCGTCAGAGGAGGTCCGAAGTGCGACTGCTTATCCTCATGCACTCTGTAATCGTAGTACCCAGTCTGAGCGACAGCTCCGGCAACCTTGGGCGCGGCCAAAGCGTAGATGACTCTGGCGCCTGTGAAAATGCGAAGATCGGAAAGTTCTCGTGACGACAAGGGCGGTGAGCCAGCCCCGACCCTATCCGCGACGTAAAGAAGACGCAGCTTTCCAGGAGTCTTGCCGATAGCTGGTCGAGATGCGCTGTTGAAACGCGCCGCGGCGGATGCAACGGGCATCACACCACTCTCTGTGAGGCTGCGGGACTGAGCCCAGTGAGCGACCTTGGCCAAAGCAGAGGTCAGGCGGTTAGTTGCCTCCTGGTGGGTCTTCAACAGAGTCTCGGGAGTGGACACCAATACTGTAGGAGCAACTCCCTGGGTAGCCAGGGCCAAATCCGTGACCTTTCCAGCCACTGAGTTCAATGCAACAGATGAGTTGGAGAACAGAGCTGCCAATGTGAGGATTAAGGTATGGATGTTCGTGAGAGAGTCGGCAGGGAGGAACAGATCAGAGGGACCAAGGCGTTGGGTAGTTGGGATCGCAGCGAGCTGAGCGGCAACACCGGCAACCAAGTTGGACTGAGTGAAGCGCACCATCTCTTCCATGGTTCCCGGCCTGGATTGCCAGAAAGTCACCACATCCTTCGGCTCGATTTCCTTGTCGACAGGGGGCACCTCTCTTGCGGCATCAACCGGTGCATCACGAAGGATCTCTTGCCATGTCGCAACGTTGACACTGCCGCCCATGCCTTCGGGAACTTCATTCCAGTCCATGTGAGAACTTCCCTCATCTACAACCCAGATGAGTTGGCGGAGAGCGGGGTATGCCTTGACGACCGAGTCGAAGGGGAACGCGCCAGGGGCTGTAATAACGGTATCGGCGGCAGACCGGCGGAGCATCGTCACGAGTTCCTCGTCTGATACATCAAATGGGATCAGGATGGCTGTGAGGTTCGGGTAAAAACTGCAGGCGAAAAGCGTCACCAAAAGCTCGATAGAGTTTGGCAGGTAAACGGCGACTCGGATGCCGCCCTGCTCGTGAATGTGTTGTCCGATGAGATTGATTTGACGAGTGATGTCATCTGCGTGGCATTAGGGAAGTTGATCACGGCGCGAAAGAAGGGTACTCACCAAGTTGATGCTCGATAACATTCTCGGAGCCCAGTACCGTCAACAAGCGACCCTTGCCTACAACTGGCTTGCCCTCCTCAGAAGCGCCAGTCGCCGCTCTTCTCCAGATATCTCGAAGATCTCCATCACGTCCTCTCGCCCACTTCGAAGCACCGGGGTCCTTGACGTTCAGTCCGCTGTTCAGGGGCATGCCATGAGGGGCAGAGTGGGATCGGTAGACGGGAGATTCTGCTGGTTGGCGAACGGGAGAGCCTTGGGCTTGACGGGCAAGCAGCATGGGATGGGTATCGGGATCCTGGCTAGAGACGATTCGGTAGGTAACGATGGCGACGAGAAAAGTGACGAGGGCAGTGGTATAAGCGTTCCATTGTCCGAAGAAGCCCGAGACACCCTCGTCCATCTGGTGCATGATGTTATCAAAGAAGCCCATCTTGGGCGGCGCGATGGTGGGAGTAATGCGAGACGGGTTGAGCTCCGGGGTTCGTCGTCAGTTGGGGAGTATGCGTGCTGGTGAAAGCAAAACGACAGAAGGCTTTACGTGGCCCGCATGGAAAGCTCGGAGGGTTGACAATAGGGAAAAGCATGAGGTGAGGCAGTGCCGCGGAGCTCGAGCTCGGAGGTTTCTTGCTGCTGAGCCTTGAGGTGGGTTGTGCTGGCAGTCAACGGCGGGGATCTGACGTCCCCCCCGGCTTCCGCTGTTGCGACTAGGTGGTTCTCGAAAGCGAGCTGGGTGAGGTACCTTACTCGTACCGCGTCCAGGATTCTCCAACAGCCGGACAACTAGCACACAGCGCGTCTCCGGCGTGCCTTTCTGCGTAGTCAGCGCGGGAGTTCCCAAGCTGCGGAAAGTCTAATCAAGTGTTTCCGATGTCAAGGCTACACTTCTCTGTATCTTCAGGTAGTCTTGCTAAGGCTGCCCCGGGTCGCGAGAGGACGCGAGTGATCCGCAGCGGCATGTGTAAGACACTTTGACAAGTTGTACTTTGCGATACTTAGGGGACCATTGCACCCTGAAGTGAGCTGTGAGCGGTACGTACCTCGAATGCTCCTGAGAAACGGCAAGAGCAAGCCACATCCCCCACCAGGCAGGAGCGCAGGTATCCACTTCGCAACAGACCGCTCCCTGCCGGTTGCTGTGGTCCGTGTGGCTGGAGTATTGTTTTTCTGCCACTGCTCTGCGAGATGCTGCAGCCAATGTTTCCTGCCGCATCCATCACCATCGACAACCCGACTTGAAGCGGCGCATTGAAGCACGCGAGCGCTCGGCGACAGCGCAGCGTCTAAGAGATTTTTTACTAACATAAAACAGGTTTGCGAAATCACTGGGAAGAGTAAGTCGCATTGATCATGACGGACGGATGTGTAGACCTGCAGATGACTGGAACTAACTCTTGCGCAACAGGCTTTGACCCTGACTGTGGTCACCGCACGACGACCTCTATTCCTCGACCTCACCTCTCAGTCTTGTCAATCATTGCTGAGACAATGTCTTCATCTGCGAGCCGAGCTGCTGTCAGCACTCCCGTCAAGTCGACGCCGCAAAAGCCCACCCCTATCGTCGACAGTCCTGGTACATGGAGACATCCACGCCTGAATGAGATCACGAGACGGCGGAACGCAACGACATTTTCCGAAAAGAACGTTAGAAGAATAGCTCTGAACATCGGCTTCCTTCTCAGTCTTTGGCTGTCCCAGATCTTTTCGCGTTCATACATTCCCGCACAATGGTACGCCTTCCGCTGACCTTACGAGTGCGACCACTGCTAACTAGCTGAGCAGGTTTAGTAGCTCCTTGCGCTCACATCTGGGTTGGGCATACTACCTGATCCAGCTCATTCCGCTGGTGAACATTGGCATGGCTATGCTGCCTCTGCTCCGATCGGCCGACGATCTTTCCGACATTCCCTTGACGCCTGCTCAGCGCCAACTTCTCGGACTGCCGCCTAGTTCTGCAGCAGCTACACCTGATGCTGTATACAGCACCCCGCCACGTTACTCGCGGACGCCTTCTCTGGCAGGTTCGCCCGCGAGCAACCGGAGCTTCTCTGGTTCCCCGCTTTCCGGCAGAGGCAGCCCAGCTCTTGCAAGCTCTTTCAATGGAAACGGACAATCTTACTCTCCTTCGCCCCTTCACAACAGCCCCTCCAAGTTCTCGGCCAGCTTGAACAGCAACCGGAGATCGTCCTTTGGCTCTTCTACGAACCTGGGAGCAAGCACTGCATCTTCCCTCTTCCCTGACCCGGGAACGCCAAGCCCCTCTACCGGAAAGCGCACCAGCGTGGGACTGAACAATAAGTGGCTCTATGAGAGAGGGAGGAGGTCGTCAGGTGGTACTTGGATGCATTAGGCGACGACGGCGCACTGCGCTTTCATGGCCTAGAGGGAATTAGGAAGATGAATGACTGCAGTCAGTGGGATGGATACCTTGCGAAAGGCGTTTGGGTGTAATGTTTCTCATGGGGTGGAGACAAAGGCTGACTAGATGCCCTAAAATAAAGTCAAAAAGTCCGCAGACTGTACATAAATGTTGTTCGCGTGGGTCATATAAATCAATCGAGGAACCGAACTTCAAGAGTCCCATCTTAATCTTGAAGCACCCTACTAGACCTGTGTCATTGCGCCCCTACTTAGATGCAGTAGCTCCAATTTGTTCACGTGTCAAGCTTCAGGATGAGGTAGCTGATCGGGCATCAGGCCAGCATCCTAAGCATGGCCAATCCGAAGGAATTGGTAAGCTTCAGCTTCAGCTAAAAGTACTTTGAATCAGAGAGATGATTGCAGCCTGCGGCTTGATTGTTTCGGCGAGGCTTATGAGCTTCGAGAGCTATCCAATTCGAAGTAGGTAGGTACCTTAACTGCATAATGGGGATCCTTAAAGTTTAGGAAGGTACGTACCTCGGCATGGAGGTCTGGCACGGAGAATGGGAAACGGGACGGGGACGTGGACTTTTGAGATACGCCCGGCGAACTGCCACCCCGCTCTTCCCCCTTCATTGGCCAAACATCAACCTGCGACCCGCTCTTCCGCCATTACGTAGCACTCAGTACTCCGTACGCCTCTGGGAATCAGGTGTCTGGAACACTGGACCGTCGACCTCCCAAGCTTCTTCTTTCCGTCAGAAACATTTCTACGGATAGTATGCCCCCTCTGTGACAACATGGGCGCCAGCGATTCGAAGCTCGTCTTCAAGAAAGGCATCTTCAGGCTATCTGAAGAGCGACACATTCCCGCCGATGATCCCTACTGGACTTCTGTATGTCAGCTTGTGAGGTGTCCTCTTTGCCCGTGATACTGACCCAGCCCGCTCGTGTAGTTTTGGGAGCTTCCCGAATCCTCAGAGGATATCTTCAGCCTTTTCGCCCCCGCCGACATTCGTCGCACTCGAGACAAGGCCTTAGAGAATTTAGAAACTCTAATATTGGCATTAACATCACGCCTGTTCATCCTGCGCCACCACCCTTCGTTCCCCGATCCCGAAATCGCTCCCGAACGCGATGCTCTCAATTGCGTCCGCGTCCTGACGCGCATCCTTCCCTTCATCTACGAGGCAGATAATCTTGCAGCATGGGAGGAGCGGTTCTTCTGGGGTGCGCGGAGGAAGAGAACTAGGCAATCTGCGATTGCTGCCGAAGTGCTGTTTGACGGGGCTCAAGAAGGCCAGAAACCGCCCAAGAACGAAAATGAAGACTTCGAAGATGCCAAACCCCTCGCCGAAGAGCTCATCGACACATTGGTCGACTTGCTATTCTTCTCAGACCTCACTCTACCTAGGCAGCCTAGTGGGCGGCCGAAAGTGTCATACGCCATCTGGCAGAGTGGTGTAGGCTGCAACACATCAGTGGCGACCACCAAAGAATTCGAGAGCAATCGTAGCGAGATACTCCGCTTGCTACTCACTATGACTAGCCAAAGCATGTACATGACATCAAACGTGCTTCCGCAGAGAGGAATTCGAGCCTTGACGCATATCTGCACGTGCCCTGATAAGCAGGTCGTGCTATCAGTCTTGTGCTCGTTGCTCAACACTGTATGTGAAGCTGCTCGTTCTCTATCGCTTGGCTGCATGCTGACAGACGCAGACCCTCAAGTACAATCCAGCTACCTGGCGTGTACCATACAATACCCTGGTCTTCAAGGACGAGAAGCAGATACTGGTGACTTACACACTCCAGCTTTTGCTAGTGTTCCTGTTGTACCCGATTCCCGAGCAAAACGGCACGACTCCCAAGAACTATTACCGCCATTTCCTTGGCAGACTCCATCGGCCACAAGACTTTCAGTTCATCGTCGACGGCATGACACGGATTCTTAACCAGCCGCTCCATGAGAAGAGCTCGTATCTTCCCAGTGGGCAAACCAATGCCAGATTTGCGCCAGAGATCATCATGCTCTTTTGGGAAATCACTCAGTGCAACAAGAGATTCAGGTCGTTCATCATCGATACTGAGCGGGTCCATGATTTCGTCGTGCTCACTCTTTTCTACGCTCTGGAGTACAAGAATGACGCATCCAAGCAAGGTGTTGTGAGAATGTGTGCTTTTCTGCTGCAGACGTTGAGTGTTGAGAAGAACTTTGGCGCCAATCTCAACAGAAGATTCGAAGGCCAAGACAGCCTGCCTATGGTTATTAGGATACCTGGCTTCAGTGGCACTCATGCGGATTTCCTGATACACGTAAGAGAGGTTCTGCTGCATTTATGTCGATCTCAGCTAACAAAAGCAAGTCCATCTACAACCTCATCACCACGAGTCAAGGCAGACTGACAGCTATATACCCGGCTCTCATGGCTGTCATCAATAACATTGCTCCCTATCTAGAGGGGCTAAGCTCGACATCTGCCTCAAAGCTCCTGCAACTATTTTCGTCCATGTCTTCACCTTCCTTCCTTCTTGCAAACGACAGCAATCACGATTTACTAAGGTCACTATTGGAGTCGATAAATTCAATTGTCGAACACAACTACCAAAGTAAGCCTCCATTTTAGCTGGGGATGCAACACTGGCAATCACCTGACTACCTGGATCTTGTGGAAGCCACCATGCTAACGCCTAGACAGAGAATCCCGAGCTTATTTTCGCCATCCTGCGCAACAAGAAGCGGATAGAAGCATTACGGACGTTCACCTTAGAGAGCGGTCAGGAGGAGATTGAGAGACGAAATCGTCGCCGCAAGGAATCAGCAGCCAATGGCGATGGGCTCGAGCCAAGTTCTGTGAGGAGCTCGGCAGAAAGTATCCGGAGCCCAACGACGTCTCATCCTCGACCTCCGACGTTAAGTGATGTTCCGGAAGAGGATGGTACCTTCGCGATTGGTGATGATGAGGACGATAGCGAGGACGAGGACCACCGCCCAACGCCAGCGCAGTCGACCACGAGCGAAAACCCATCAGTGGCATCGTCACAAGCATCAGTGGTGGAAGACGCCGTTCCGACACAACTCCGGGGTATGTCAGAAAAGGCTAGAGGCAAAATGCCCGCCGGCATGAGTAACTTCTCCAGGCAAAACAGCACCACAAGCCTCGGTGGATATTCTGCAAGTGGACAGTCACAATCCGGTGGCTTTGAGCCAACAGCCAATTGGATTGAAAGCTGGTTACCAGAGCTGCCTCTTCACACCATTCTTACCGTGATTCAGCAGGTGACAGCTCTGTTGCCCAGGCAAGCTCTTGCAGGAGAGTCTGCCAGCCGAGAGACACTTTCGAAGATTCAAGAAATCAAGCTGGTGGGGGTTGACCCTACACCACCACGGGTGCATTCCTTCGAGTGGTCGCAGCTCTCCCTAGGATGGTACGAATCGTTGCTGTGGGGCTTCGTCTTCAGCAGCGAGATTCAGATCTCGAAGGGCACAGTTGGAATCTGGAATGGTACAGCGATCAAGCTGTTCAGGGTCCAGGAGACTGCACCTCAAGGGCCAAGTCTGGCATCGCCGAGAGGAGCCGTCGATGCTGTTGGAAGCAATATCGTGTCCCGAATCGGAGCTATGAACCTGCGAGGCCCCGGAGGTACACCGCCAGCAGCCAGTCAGCGTCCGGGATGATAACGCGATGAGGCTTACAGACGGGAGGCTTCTCAACATCTTTGTCTGATCCTCTGATGCAGGCCCGCGAGGACACTGGTTAGATCATTCAAATCCGAAGACGAGGCTCAGGGGAGGATGGCAGAGCACTATAGCAACACAGCTGCTAGCTGAAGGACCGTCTCAGAAACAACCATACCACAATAGTGAATGTCGATCCTTGCGTAGAAAAGGGTCGGTGAAGGAGGAACAGATCGGTGAGAGACGGGGCCGAGAGCCCAGGAAGGTGCTAATCGCGCCGTAGATCAATAGGGCGGCGCCAGGACAGGAATCAGGCACCGAGATCACGTCAAGGTCGTGAGCTGTGGCAAACGACGCGTGTGTAGTCGAAGCGGGATTGAACAGACATTGGCAGGCGGTAGGAGTTACAATTTATCCAACAATTTCACTCGGTGTGTGACTTTTAAAGCGCCAACAAGACCAGCAGGAACCGAAGTATCCGTGACTCAACTTCGTTTACTGCTCTGAGAATATTGAGGCGGCACGGCGGCATGCGGTTGTCAAGTTGAAAGGTGTGGCTTGACGTGGCGAGAGCGGCATTCAATCGAGCAGGGAATGAGGACTTTAGCATGACCAATGAGCCGTTATAACGGGCCCCTTCGCTCATGAGTGTGTTGGCAGACGGCCCAAACCTGGCGACTGATGCAACTCTGTACCTGGCACAATCTAGCAAAAAGCGGTGATCATTTCCGAGCTTGTCCAGGGATTCGTACGCACCGCCACAAGCTTGCCCGGCGCGTACCTGCTCTGCGGTTCTAGACCCCTCCTGCTGTCCAGATCGCCCATTCAGAGGCCGCCTGGGAAGCAAGGGGAGGTAGTTCAAGCCACAACGCCACACCTCGAACGACATGGAAGTGCGCTTTCTCTCTTCGGTTGCAAAGACGGTGGACCGCCTAGGACATGGCACTTTATCAAAGTCCCAGACCATTAGTAGGTAGGTAATGAGACGATGCAGGATGGGATTCTGTTTCCCAGGCTTAAGAGAAGGGTTGTATTAAATAGTTCCGGCTCGCTTAACCTTGTTCATGATTTTCCCCGTCTAGCCTTACTGCACCCGCTATTCCTGGTTTTTGGGCTACAATTACTCAATAAGACCCTCCCCGTTTGCTGTTGCCGTTGCGACTTATTTACTTTCCGGTGTTTCCGCTCAGTACTGGGCGAAGGCGGTTTTGATGTTTTTCATATGAGTCCTGCCGGTACACTCACACGCGTATGATGCCAATTAACTCTTACCATGGCCAACACTCTCGACTCGGGCGCCGCTGGCCTGGCGGGAGATGAGATCAGTCCTTACCGCATACATGTGAGGACTCCCAGAGGCTGAAGCGAAGGAATGACTGGTTGGGGAAAGTGGATTGAGAGGTGTCGAGGTTTCCTAGCTAACATAAAGTTGTTGTTCGAATGAAAGGTGTCTAGCAGATATCTCGATCTTACGAAACAAAAACTGGAGCTTACGAGACTTCCTCATGAACCTTCGGAACCC